ATCAGTCTGTGCCTGAAAAGCAGATTGAACTAAATATTTAATATCAAGCCAGAGAATGTATCCAATCTGGTATTGCTAACAAATGTTTTTCAGCACCTGCTAGACTCAATTAGGAAAAAAAAAAGGGGGGGGGGAGCAGCTTCAAGCCAATTTTTAAATTCACATTCACTTCAAACAACAGATGGACTTCAAAGAGTACAGCTATAAACAGTGTACTTGTCCAACATGTCCCTTTTCTCGATTTGAATTAGAGATGTGGAGCTGGGTCGGTGCATATGAACAGACAAGGGCGGCACAACAAAAACAGGTCTCTACACCATTCTCTCTGGTAACATTTAGCTAGGAGAGCATTATCATTTATTCTTCCCCGTTTACCCATCAGGTGTAAGCCACCTGTCAGTAAGCTCCATTTAACTTTTTGTAACAAAGTGATGTCCCTAGTACCAGATGCCAACCAGAGATGGCAAAGGTGATTTTTTCTCTCAGCCAAGATTCTGTTACTACAAAGTATCGTTGGGGAAGCAGAGGGAATCCAGTTCTCTTCATTCCTTCTCTCAAACCAAACCAAACTCCCTGTTATTGAGCAGATTCTGATGCATAGCGACTGTATAGGACAAGGTAGAACTGCCCCTGTGGGTTTCTAAGACTGTAACTCTGTATGGAAATAGAAAGCCTCGTCTTTCTCCAGAGGAGTGGCTGGTTTCAAACTGCTGATTCTTATGGCTAGCAGTCCAAAGTGTAACCACTATGCTAAAATACCCTACCTCCCATTCAGTCATTAATAAGCATAGTCTGGTGAACTAGGTCATGATTATCTCACCCTGGACAAATAAGAAACAGCAGCACTGTTTGCTGAGTCACACAGAAAGTGACTGGCAGTGTGCCTTACACCTCCTCCTAGCAAGGTTAACTTAGAGGAGGGTAGGGAACTCATAGATTCACCCGCCACAAACCACGCAAGGTGGATTCTGAGGCCCTGCCACAGGTTTTCCCTGATTGTGGCAGATCTTTGGGTACTAAATCACCTTAACTCCTCATTAGACATGGTCATTCCTCAGCCCTGCTGCGGTAGACGGATGATATGTCAACTAGACACTCCTGGGTAAGGGTATTTAAACCTGTCAATCAAGAGATAGCCTGATGATACCACCTTGGGGGCGTGGCCTTTTGTATAAGAGTGAGGGACTCTGGGAACTGCCTGTATTAGTCTGGGTTGACTAGAGAAACAAATCCAGCGACACTTACATGTGTGTAAGAGAGAACTTTATATCAAAAGTAATTTCATATTAAGAAAACATCCCAGCCCAGTCCGGATCAAGTCCATAAGTCCAATATTAGCCCATATGTCCAATAGCAGTCTAAATTCCTCTTCAGACTCACGCAACACATGCAATGGAAGATCACAGGCCAGTGGGTAGAAAATCTTGTGGATCCAGTGGTGGTGGATCTCTACATGGTTCCTCCAGCTCCAAGGCTCTGATTCCATCAGTGTGGCTCCATGTGGCTTGTCAACAGGAATGTCAAGCAGAGATTATGTGTGTCCCACCTCCACGGAGAAAGACCAGAGTTCACAGAATCCTCAGAAGGACATGCCCACACAGAGGCTTCACTGGCTAATACCTGATTAACGGGCTAGACGCCACCCCTTCCTTAAACTAACAGTAGATTACATTAACTGCCACACTGTCTCTCTCTACCACTTCGCTTTCCTCCAAGCTAAGACTTCACTGGGACTCGGCGTCTGCTGCCAGGGGTGGACCCATGGGGGACCCTGTACCTTGAGAATTGTCAGAGCCGTGCCATACATCCAACAACCTTGGATCCACATGACTCCACTCACTGGCCTGTGATCTCCCTTTGTCACTTGTCATAAAAGTCAAAACGAAACAAACCTAAAGAGTTTCAAGTTAAAAGAAAGTAGAAATTCCCTTCTCTATTCCTTTCAAGCTAGCCCTTATCTACAAAACGAGGATCACTGTTCAGCGCAAGTATTCCCACATGGGTATATAAATAAATAACGAAAGCAAAACGAGCTGTAAGATGAGAGAAGTGTACATATTTAATCATATTTACTCCTAAATACCTAGTACTGTGCCTTCTAGCATCTTCATCTATAAGATGTTATCTTATAAGGTTGCTGCAAGAGTAAATGAAAAAATGAACATAACATACTTAATCCATCATCTAGCACACACCGAACCAAACTCTATGCCATCAAGTCCATTGAGACGGCAACCCTACAGAGCAGGGCAGAGCTGCCCCAGGGATTTCAGAGACTGTAACTCTTCATGAAAATAGAAAGCTTCATCTTTCTCCTAAGGAATGGGCTGATGGTTTTGAACTGCTGACTTTGAGGTTAACAGTCCAACATTTAACCACTATGCCACCAGGGTTACTATCCAACACAGAAAGAATGCTTGTTAATCCTGTTATTATCAGACCAGGTCATTTCCCAGATGCCATGGTGTAGTGGATTACAATTTGGACTGCTGCTAACTGCATGGTCAGCAGTTCGAATCCACCAGCTGCCCACTAGGGAGAAAGAGGAGGCCATCTGCTCCGGTAAAGATTCACAAACTCAGAAACATTCGGGGGAAGTTATACTCTGTCCCATAGGGTCAACATGAGTCTGAATTGACAGTAGATTTGGATTTGGGTTTAGGTCATTTTGAATACATGCTGGGAAGGTCCTTAGAATGAAGCCATTGAAAACCTTCTAGATGAAGAAAACAAAGAGTTAATAGTCTTACCCAACACTGCATAGCACTGACATAGCCGAAACTGACACCAATGTTTTTCTAAAACACAGTAGCTCAATTCAATATGCTTTTCACCTTTCAAGGATACTTCGACACCTAGCTGAAATATACAGTCTAAGGACAGTCTTTTTTTTCTCTCTCTCTTTTTTAACATTTTATTAGGGGCTCATACAACTGTTATCCCAATCCATACACACATCAATTGTGTAAAGCGCATTTGTACATCGTTTCTCAAAACATTTTCTCTCCATTTAAACCCCCGACATTAGGTCCTCATTTTTCCCCTCCCTCCCCGCTCCCCCCTCCCTCATGAGCCCTTGATAGTTTATAAATGGGTATTTTGTCATACCTTGCCCTGTAGGACAGTCTTAAGATTCAGAATTTGCTCATCATTTCCAAGCTATGGATCATGCTTACCCAGAACATGAGGTGGAAAGGACAGAGCAGGAAACTTTGAATATGAGGCCTGAATTTTTTAAAGTAATTCAACTATTACATAGCTGGTTGCTTTCCTTTAGGGGGAGGGGCGTGGCAGGAAGGCATTTGGTTCCTATTGGATGGTTTCTTTTGTTTCTGTTGTATTCAGTCACTTTACTCCAGAAAACACACACAGCTATTATACAGCCTTTAGAATTTTGTCTAATGAGAGTTAGTTATGAACATTAAATGCCTGAGCTGCCATTAGATTCAAATATTTAAAGATATTCAACTAAAAAAAGGAGGGTCTAAGAACGGAAGGACAAACTGCTTTCATTTGGAATATAAAGAAGAGTCATGTGTCCGAAACCAGAAAGAGCAATAGATCCCGGTGGCCTTGTAACTTTAAATTCTATTCTCTTTCTCTGGTGTGTACTTTACATGTTAAAAGAATGCATGTGTATTCTTCCCCACTCTCTTATTCCCTAAAAATTCTGCACCCTGATTGATGCAATGAAGAATAATAGGAGAGGAAACAAATTGTCAGTGTTTGCTAAACCTTAGATTTTACTATAATAGATCCTTTACAGTAAATAATAAGACAATGATGGGGCTCTTTGTTTACTGTCACCACAATTTTCTATTGTCACATTTGCATTCCGTCCATGAAACAGGAGGATAGTGATGACTTCATTCTCTAGGATGAAGGGTAATTGATCTAAACCTTCCTATCACTTTCCTTTAACTCGGAGCACTAATGCAATGGAAGGCAGGAATAAATAATATTTCTGTAGGGGAAAAAATGACGTCAGAAAAGCTAACCTGCAAAAAAAAAAAATGTTTCATGATCCTAAGTCATGAAATCCCTCCTCCAACTGCCAAAAAAAGGTGTTTTATGAGGAATTCAAAATGAATCTGAAGGACAGAGGATTCCCCCCACCCCAGCTGTTAAAGTAAAATAGGTTAAAAGGTCCTAATTAAACCAAACCCCAAACAATTCAAACGGGGCCGTGGTTAAAAGGTAGCTTTGCCATTTACATTAAACCTATTAACATGACATGTTCGTGACCACATGAAAGTGTCTTCCTAACGTGAGCTCTCATTATTGCTCATGAATCTCAATCTCCCACAAATAACATATAAAAGGGAACGGTGGAAATTAACAACACTTAGCTATAGGCAGTGACTTCCATACTAAGATAGTTTCTATTCCTCCTGTTTCCCCTTTTCCTTTCTTTCCCTGCCTGATGACATTTACTCTATGAGAGCTGTGCCCTCGGAATCTGAACGTCATCATCAGACAAGCTACACTGTGGTCCGCGCTCTTTTGGAAGGTATAATTCTACAAAACTAGAAAAATGCAAATTCTGCTGTACTTTTTCAAACGACCCGGGATAGGATTAACTTGGCAAAAACCTGCAACAACATACACACACAAAATACTACCTTTTTCCAAATGGAAATTACAGGGAGTGGAGGGGCTGTTGGTGGTCACAGTAAATTTATTAGTTACCTTGCCAAACTTAGCTATTCCCAAACTTCATCTCTTCCCTTTCTCTGTCTCTTTTTCGTGTAAATACGGCAGCACCCTCAAGGCTGGCGGAACTACAAATACAGCAAACAGGCACAGGGAATTGACCGAGACAGGCACCCAAGAGGCACCTTACATAGAAATTGTTACCCTTGACAACCTGCACTGCACACACAGCAAGCACGAGTACCTTTACGTTTGTGCAAACCCGCTCTCGCCAAGAGACACGGTGCCCGTCCCCACTCGGACGGCCCCACTCCGGGGGCAGTTCCGCCGCTGCCCAGGGCTCTCACCGTGTCTGCAGTCGCAGTAGCCCCAGTCCACCTGGCCGGGGGCGTTCTCGTAGAAGCACCAGGGTCGCCCTCCGCCCTGCAGGCTCCGACAAAAGTTGTGGCGCTGCGCTCGCAGCGGA